AGACATATGCAAAATGAAGGAAGAAATGGTGCTGATGAAAAAAGAAAATGCGTCACTGAAGCAGCTGTGCTTGGAGCAAGCCCGCCGGTACAAGAGAAGATGGGATCTTCTACTGACGGGCCTCCCTGAAAAAGACAAAGAGGATACAAGAGGAACTGTGATTGGCATCCTCACTAGAGTAATCCCGGTGTCAGTGGAAAAACTACAGGACTCAGTAGACACAGTCCATCGCTTAGGGAAGAAAAACGATGCCGCTACCAGCAAGATGCCCAGACCTATAATCATCCAGTTTGCCTTGCGAACTGTTGGTGATGAAGTTTGGAGGAGATCCAGAGAGGCAAGGGTGTGCAGTGAGATGAACTTCAAGTTTAAGGAGGACTTCTCAAAGGAGGCTTGTGAGGCTCGTGCTAAGCTTTGGCCCAAGGTGCAAGAAGCCAGGAGAAATGGGAAGAAAGCCTCCCTAAGAGAAGGTTATGCACTCATCAAAGGATGCAGAGTTGACCCCTAAGTTTGGTTTAGTAATCAAAAACATAGGTCTCCTTTGCTTATACTGAGCAAAAGTGAATAACACAATATTATATGTTTAAGAGTATGTAATTATACACTCAGATTTTTCATGTAAGCAGTTAGGCTTAAACAAATCCTGTTGGTGAACATTTATGTGATTCAAGTGCTAAAAGGGGCAAATAAGAATCCAAGTTCAGTTTGGTTCTTACGTTTATTTGACATTTTTGTAATGACGTCATTAAGGACAACATGTTCATTCCTGCAAAGAAGAAGAAACACAGTTAAGCGCATTTAGAACAATCATCATTTCTTTTATATCCTTAAATGTCGGGGGTTTGAACAACAGCACAAAGCAAAAAGCAATTTTTTATTTTGTAAGGATCAAAAATCACAATGTATCTTTTTACAAGAGACTCATTCTGTTGCGACTGTTGAAAATTTTTGGAAAACGCAATGGGGGGGGGGGGGGGGGGGGTTATGCCTACTTTGCACATGGAACATCACACTCAGCAGGAGTCGTGATTTTATTCAATAGATATTCAGGCAACATAATTGATCACCAGAAGGCCACTGGTTAATGGTGTTAGTGGAGTGGAATGATGAACGTTATATTTTGACGTGTGTGCATGGATATAACAACCAAGAAATTAATGAAAACTTCTATTCAGAACTAAGCCAAAAAATAAATGAATGGAAAGTAACGTACAACACAGAGAACGTGATATTGGGAGGGGTCCATAATATAGCCCAGATTCGTGGTTAGACCGAACGCCTCATAGAAATTCCCAACCTATTTATAGTGACACTATACTATCCTTATGCACAAAAACGCATATTATTGATTATTGGAGAACACAAAACCCAACATCAGTTCAGTATACATGGTGTAATTCGGCAGGAAATGGTCAGTGTTCAAGATTAGATTACTGGCTGATATCACATGAGATATGCGATGACATTTCAGATTGTAAAATAACAGCCTCCCCGCTAACGGACCATTGCATGATCAGTCTTGATATTAGAGCATCTAAGCAACAATTTAAGTCTCCCCCTATACGGGAGTTCAATTATGATCTACTACAAAATGATGATTTTTGTAATCAGATTAAATCTCTTATATCGGAGGTTAAAAAGCTGGATATGAACGGTGCCAGTAAATGGGAACGGTTCAAGTTTAAAGCCAAACAAATAGCACTAGACAAAGGAAAACAATTGGCAAGTTTAAGAAAAAGAAAACAAAAAGAACTAATTGATGAAAGTAATTAAATAACAAGTAGTACACAACTATCCTCAGATAATGTTACTAAATTAAAGTCCCTGTAATGCCAATTAGATGACATGTTTATAAAAAAGGCAAATGGAGCATATGTTCGATCACGAGCTAGATGGATTGAAAAGGGTGAAAAGAGTTCAGCATATTTCTTTGGACTTGAAAAGCAAATACAAACTAAGAAAAAAATAAGTAAACTTAGGACAAATGATAACATAATTGAGGACCAGAACTTAATCCAAGAAGAAATCTGTTTCTTCTATTGCCACTTATATAAATCAAAATTCAACAAATCAGACTGTGACCTTCTATTTGAAATAATTGATGAAGATATAATAAATGTGGACATTGAAGATAAGCATATACTGGAAGAAGAATTATCTGAAATAGAAATGGAAAATGCATTAAAACAAATGATAAATCACCAGGGACAGATGGGTTAACAACTGAATTTCTAAAACATTTTTGGGCAGAAATAAAAAAGCTGCTATATAATGCGTTTTTGGAATGTATTAAAACAGGATGTTTGTCCCCCACTAAAACAGGATTAATAACCAACTACCAAAACCACACAAAGACCCACTGAAACTAGATAACTGGAGGCATATAACCTTATTATGTAACGATTATGAACTTCTGGCTTTAGTGTATGCAAATCGTTTAAAGCGTGTAATTGGAAAACTTATCGGAGAGTACCAATCGGCCTTTATTAAGGGAAGATATATCCAAAATCACATTCGACTGATATTAGATATGATTGATTACCGTTCGTTCACACATCCAGATAACCTCGTACTGTTCATAGACTTTTTTGAAGCCTTTGACACAGTGGAACATGAATTTATGTTCACAGTGCTTAAAAAACTCGGATTTAGAAAAGGTTCCTGTAAGATTATAAAAATGTTTTATAATGATATCCATAGTTACATCTCGCTCAACCCTGGGATAACACCAAAAATTAAGATTTCACGTGGTATTAGACAAGGTTGCCCTATTTCGCCAAAATTATTCATTTTACGTACACAAATGCTAGCACACCTAATTATAAACCACCCTCAAATTAAAGGAATCACTATGTTTGATGATGAATTTAAAATAAGTCAGTTTGCAGATGACACAGTACTCTTCTTAAAAGACAATTCATTAGTTGAAAAAGCATTCGATATAATATCAATCTTTTCTAAAGCCTCAGGATTATGTCTGAACTTAAAAAAATGTGAAATACTATCTCTTCATCCATGTGCTGAGACAAATATAGGCTCCATTCCTGTCAAAACTGAAGTACAATACCTGGGTTTAATATTGTCCAAAGACAGAAATAAGAATGAAGAACTAAACGTAAAGAAAAAAATACATGGGATGACAAGATCTCTCAACCACTGGCTCATGAGAGATCTTTCTATGATTGGCAGAATCTTATTAACAAAAGCAGAGGACTTATCAAAATTAATCTATCCTTGTCAGTCTCTTTATGTTCCCCCCAATTTATAAAAAAAGTTAACTCGATCATTTTTTATTTTATATGGAAGAGCAATACACACTACCTTAAAAAGTCTGTGATGGTTAAAGACTACGAAGATGGCGGGTTAAAGGCTGCTGATTCTGAAGCCATGATTGGTGTACTTAAGCTAAACTGGATAAAAGCTTTTTTAATACAACCACATTCTATATGGTTCCAACATACCAAAAAATATATTTTCCAAAATGTTGGAGGATTAGAATTCCTGTTAAAATGTGACTTTGAAATATCTAAATTACCAATCAAACTATCTGACTTCCATAAACAAATACTGCTCTACTGGAAAATGATATTCAGCCACAACTTTACACCGCATAGCTCCACCTTGTGGAATATTACAGCCATTGTGATTAATAGGAAGACTTTATTCAAAAAAGGTTGGTATGACTATATATATATATATATATATATATATATATATATATATATACGTGACAGATTAGATGGATAAAATGGCAATTTGTTACAATTTGAATGTTTTGTCGAAAATTGTAATTTTAAATGCTCCGTTAGAGTTTAATCAAATCAGTAGAGCTATTCCACTTCCCTTAAAATTCATGATTAAAAATACCTTGCTTAATTCAAATGTGGTGATTAAACTTCCTGAGTTGAAAATTGGCAAATTTAAATTAGGTGAACAAAAATGCAATAACAAAGTACTTGGAAGTATGTCAAAAAAAGTTATTAGAAAAAGCTACAACAATAAAAATCACAGGAAAGGAAACTACATTAACAAAGCCATATTGCAGCTATCTTAAATGGCCAATTGCACCCAAGTTGAAAGAAATTCAATTCAAAATAATACATAATATCAATCCTGCTGCCGAAACATTAAGAAAAAGATTTAATTTTGAAGTGAATCAGTGTGTCTTTTGTATGACAGAATGTGAAACTATTGAGCAACTTTTCTTCTCGTGTTCAGTAACAATTGGTTTTTGGGAGGATGTTTATCGCGTATTAGATATTGAGAGAAATGATGTATGGCTTAACAAATCTAAAGTGTTGATCTACATGGATGCTCTGCCAAAAAAGATGTCCAAAATGATGAACATTATTTTCATCATGGGAAAATACCATATACATAAAACTAAATGGAAAAACAGCAAGCCTAACATTAACCATTTTAAAAATGAAATAAAACAATTTACAACATCTATAAAAGTATTATCAGAAAATAACCAATCTATAACTGAGTTGTACGAAACAATGTCTGAGTTTCTTGTTCTTTAAATTACAGTCCAATGAATCAAACATGTTTGAAATATAATGCTGAAATATCAACCTCTGAACATTTTTTTGTTGAGGATATTTTTATTTTATTATTATTTTGCATCATAATTTATTTTATGGTATAGTGTCATGTGGTAATGGTTGCAAGTTCTAAATGTAATTTTTATTTTCCTCAAGTGAGGTCATTTGTATTTGCTTTATTCTTCAGTACGTTGAATGCAGGTTACATTGTAAACTGAATGTATGTAAAAACGAAGATTGAAATAAAGTAAAAAAATAATAATAATAAGTCTGAGGTAAGATCGTATATTTAGTTCGATGGGTAAGATTGCCGCCACGTTCCTACGTCGTCGCATCCCATTGGCGAACAGCAGGAACGAGGCATCTAGTGTTTATGTACATATCTATGGTGTGTTCAACGATAAGCTCCTCAAAAATAACAACACGAGAGTTCCTGTCTTTTTTCCCTCACGGACCCATTTTGTAGCTGCACCACAACCCGGAAGTTGTTCACTGAGAACAACGTTTGGTCCGTTTTCATCCACCAGAACATAAATGATGTTTTACTGCAGCAGCGGCGGCTCGGAGCCGCTCAGCGGGTCTAAAACTGATATTGTGAGAGGAATCATCACCGAGAAGCTGACCACGGCCGCCCAGGAGATCTTCGCGGTGGTGGAGAGGATCGTAACCGACTACGAGGCGGAGGCTTCGGGCTTCAGGCAGCAGGTGGACCGCCAGAGGAGGCAGCTGGAGCTCCTGCAGCCTCGGGTCACACCAAAGCCTAAAGGTCAGTGGAGGCTGGAGTTTGTCACATCTATCAGACACGAAGGTTTAGCTGAAATGTTCCTCGCGTCGTTTTATTGCGCTGGTCCCAGATCAGCGCAGCCATGAGGCGGTGGCTGCTGGTGAGGAAGAGGAGCAGCCAGGTATGTGTCAGCAGTTCAGCAGCTACAGCTAACATTTCTACAACTGGAGACGGACTCAGATGTTTGTTTACATCAGAGATCAGAGACTAACTCTGGCTGTTTGGTGTCCAGATGAGGAGGAAGCAGAGAGCCTGGACCTGCCGCCTGTGACCGATGAGGAGGAGGGTGGTGGTGGTGAGGAGAACCCCCCCGCAGCTAAACTGGGATCTTTCCACGATGACATGAAAGACCCAGATTATATAATCCCATCCAGGTAACAGAGTCAGGATGTACACTGTGTTGACATCGTTTACGTACACGTCACCTGGGCTGGCGCTGCCTGTTGGAGCGGGCGTAGCAGCGGGCCGCCATCTTGGATGGGTCTCCATTCGTGCCCGGTGCGTTTATTTCCACTGAGGAAGGTGTTCAACCAACTGAAAAACGCATCTCATTGTGCTTTTTCACAGAATCAGACACGTGGTGTGGCATGATAATTATTATTCAAATAAAATAAAATGATAAATTTGAAACACAATTCAACAGGTAGGCCAAACATGTCAATAGCAAGCCCACGTGAACTGTTTTTAATAGTACGCCAGTTACTGCAACCCTAGGGCGCACAAAGCGGGCGTAGTTGCTCACTTTCAGTTGGGTCCAGCTGGGTTTAGGCAGCCTGATGGCGCTACAAATGTGAACACCAGTGTCTGAGACATCCAGTCCGATCTGATCTGTGCTCCTTCTGCAGGTTGGATTCTCCCAGAGGCCTCTCTGTCAGGAGGAGAGCCGGCAGACCTCGGATCAGCGACACACAGAACCACGTAGACCTGAGGGTGTGTTTGCTGGAGGACTCTCAGATCCAGGTGCTCTCTAAGACGGGTACGTCGTCATACTTTTAAATTTAAGCTTTGCCTAATTCATCATGTTACAACGTCTGTGTTTCCCTTAAAGCAGTCCTAGAATTCAAAAGCACATTCCCCTCGTTTTAACGAGAAACTAGGCTTTTCATGTCGCTGTGTGTTAATTACCTCCGCTTCTGCTGATTAGCACCCTCGGCAAGTGGAGCCAGGCTTTTTCAGACCTTTTCCCAGGCTGAACCCACCGGACACGCCCACTGCAAGGGCGCCCCCAAGGGGTGGCCACCCCTAGAAAATTGCTGCCCCCCTCCCCAAAGGAAAAGGCAGTGCTAACAAATCATATTAATGTTCAGTCAAACCATATATTGTTTATTCAAGACATAATTATAAAACAAAATAAAAATGTTACAATTAATGAGTAAAGAAATAATCAGAATAAAGAATAAAATGTTTCTGCTGCTGCAGTTTAAATAAACTTTTATCTCCATAATTTTTTTTAACAGCAACAGGTGAATTTACCCCAAAAATACATTTTTAAATTTAATTATAGATAATATTTTAAATAAATGAAATGTTTGTGTTTGTAAAATTTATACGTACTGTTATTTTAATAAAAACAAATACGGGAGCAATGCAGCCCATCGCCACTGGGGGCGCCCCTGGCCCACTGCCAAACCAACGACGGGCTCATTAGGAGCCTCTGATTGGTGGGTTTAATCAGCCAGCAGCGTTTCCTGCATTAAAGCTGCTTTCACCCAAATCTGTTATCTTCTTATTTTTAACTCAACTTTTATAATCCTTCATCTGTTTATGAAACTTTACAGTTTTATGACTTTATGTCTTCTGATGTGAATCTAATTGTGTTTTGAGATCGTTGTGATGTCATGACCTTGTCTTGTTTTGATCCGGGTGAAGGGTTAGGGTCTGTGACGAGTGCCGTAGAGATAAACAGAATGTGAGCTGCTCAGAGGACGGCGGATCAGTGCCGCTCCGCCCGGCCACCTTTTCCAACTCCACAGTTTGGGATTTTCCCGCCACCCCCCCCCCCCCCACCCCCCTTTAGTCGCGGCTCTGACGAGGTTCCCAGTGCGCTGAGTCAGGCCAGCATCCCGGCTGTGGTCGCTGACTGGACAGGGGTCACTGGCTGCTCAGAGCGCTCTGCCTGCAGCACTTCCTGGTTCTGAGTCTGAAGGAAAACACGCGTCTGAGCAGAGTGCCCAACTTCTCCACGTCACACGGTTTACTCATCATCTGTTGTTTTTGTAACAAGTAGAGCCCATCTCACTCCTCAGCTGGAGCCACTGGTGCCTGCAGGAGAGAGAGGGGGTGAAAGGTCACGCCACACACCCTAACGATGAAATAAAACCAGCTGAAGTCATGACTGACCGAGCTCTGGCCTCGTTTGGTTATCTCCTCTGTTCCAGTGTTTAAGAAGACTCCGGTCCAGGACCTGAAGTGTCCTCGTGGTCTACAGGAGTCGGACTTCCTGGACCTCCTCCGGTCCTCCTTCCCTCAGCTGGCTGACGGAGAACCTTTTGACCTCTTCATGACTGATCAGAGCAGGAAGCTGCTGCCTCTGAGGGTCAAAGCTCTGACCCCAGAGGAGATCTACTCCACCATCAGGTCCACGGGGAAGTCCTCCCTCTACGTCCGCCTGAAGGTTGGTTGCACTGGTTCTGCTTTAGTGACGTTCCCGAACAGAGTCGTTTTACTTCCATGGAAACATTAGAAAAGCTTGCCTTTAAGGGTCTGAAGCCCCGCTGGAGGAGACTCTAGGTGGGCGTGGCCTCCAGCGGCCTGCAGGGTTTAGAGGACTTCCTGCTCCATCGTCATTAAAGTCCGTCTCTTGCAGAACGGAGGCAGAGAGAGAGAAGAACCTCCAGGTTCTCCTAGAAGGTGCGACCGTCCATCTGCTGATGCTGAGCTCCGCAGCAGGTACGTGACTCGTAGGAGGAGCTGTTTGGTAGAACTTGTGTTTGTAGGTCAGAGGGGGAACTTGTTCTCGTCCTTTAGTTTGGGTTTGGGTTACAGGCTCAGACACTCTGGTTTTAGTTTGAGACCTGATCCCAACAGGTTAGCTGAGAACCCAGCATGCAGGAGGGTCCGGACCTTCGTCCCTCCTGACCCCTCTGCTCCTCCTGCAGGTCGGGTTCTTCCGGAGTCCACTCTGTCCGGAGGAGACCCGGCAGACCTCGGATCAGTGAGGAGCAGAACCACGTGGACCTGAGGGTGTGTTTGCTGCAGGACTCTCAGATCCAGGTGCTCTCTAAGACGGGTACGGCTCCGATGCTCCGGTCTGGCTCTGATTGGTCCGTTATCATCTCACTCCCAGGATGAACGAACGACAGAAACATTCAGAGTCATCACGACTGCTTTGGTCTAACTCAAACGGACCTGACAGGAACCCTTTTAATTCCAGTGTTTAAGAAGACTCCGGTCCAGGACCTGAAGTGTCCTCGTGGTCTACAGGAGTCGGACTTCCTGGACCTCCTCCGGTCCTCCTTCCCTCAGCTGGCTGACGGAGAACCTTTTGACCTCTTCATGACTGATCAGAGCAGGAAGCTGCTGCCTCTGAGGGTCAAAGCTCTGACCCCAGAGGAGATCTACTCCACCATCAGGTCCACGGGGAAGTCCTCCCTCTACGTCCGCCTGAAGGTTGGTTGGAAAAATGGGTGTTTCTTTGGAGGGGGGGGGGTCCAACCGTAACTATAGTCGAGCTTTTAGGTGTACTTGCAGTGACGTTTATGACCCAGCAGGTGTCAGTAGAACCGCTTTACCTACCATCACCAGGTGAGCCTGTCTGGAACGGACCTGCTGTGTGTGAGAGGTTCTCCAGGGTTCTGTTTACACCACAGAGCTGCCGCGACTACGCTAGCAGAGGGATAATATGTCCCCTTTAAGCTAACGGCTCTGTCGTCGCCCCGCTGGTTCCAGCATAGCTTCATCTACAGAGCGATGCTGAAGCTTGGGCAGCCTCGGTCATCTTCATGACTGTCCCGCACAGACGGTTCAGTTAAATGTGTCATTTAGGAGACACTCACGGTGATGTTTGAGGAGTGAAACTAGCATTTGCAGCAGGTGTGCTGCATGGCGGCCATCAACACCTCTCACATGAGCTGGAGACAAAGGTTGTTCACCATCGTGGTTCAGTTGAAGGACACAGAGGCCGTCTCAGAGGTTTCAGCTGTCTGTTTCCACAGCTCGGAGCGTACAGAGGAAACGGAAGACCACAGGCACAGTTCTAGATCGGCTCCGAGTGGCAGACCAGGAAAAGCCTCAGATGAGCAGAAGTGAAGAGTGGTGAGAACAGTCAGAGTCAGCCCACAGACCTACAACAGCATCTTGCTGCAGATGACGTCTCTGTGCATCGTTCAGCAATTCGGTCCACTGTACACAAGGAGGTGCTGCATGTGAGAGTGATGCGGAGGAAGCCGTTTCTCCACCCTCAGCACCAACAGCAGCTGGAGGTCTGCTGAAGCACATCTGGACAAGCCAGCTTCACTAATGAGGCGCTGTGGACTGATTTATGTGGGCAGAACAAGGGAAGCCATGCGTGGAGGAACAAGAACACAGCCTTCCAAGAGAACGCCTGCCACCTACAGTGGAACAGGGAGGCGGTTCCATCATGGTGTGGGCCGTGTGGCAAGAGCAGGGACTGGGAATCTTGTTAAAGCTGAGGAACGCATGGATACCACTCAGTATCAGCAGGTTCTGGAGACCGATGTCCGGGAATCAGAGACAAAGCTGCAGCTGCACCGGGGCTGGGCCTTTCAACGAGACAACCACCCTAAACACTGCTCAGCAGCTACTGAGGCGTTCATGCAGAGGAACAAGTAGAACGTTCTGGAACGGCCACCTCAGTCCCAGACCTGGACATTATTGAGATCTGTGGTGTGAGTTGGAGAGAGCTGTCCATGCTCAGAAGCATCAGACCTGCATGAAGTGGAGATGTTTGTGCAGAAGAACATTCCAGAAGACCTCCAGCATGAAGCCAGACTCATCAGACGCTCTAGGAAGAGCGTAGAGGCTGATGCTTCTGCAGAAGGAGGATCTTCTAAATACCGACTTTATTTCTGTGTGTGGGGCCCAGATTTCTGCACCAGCCTAATTTAGTTTAAGCTGTTAGTGACCACTTCCTGTAAATCCCATAAACTCTGGTGCACTTCTCATCCATCCCTGTGCGTGTCTCCTATAGGGTCCATTTATCTAAACAATCAACGTTTATACAGGAAAGTCATGAAGATCCACAGGGCTGTCCAAACTTTAGCGTCCCTCTGTGAGCATGTGGTCTCTGGACTGGGCGGGCCGCTTGAGTTCTGCTACAGAACGCTTGAGTCCTTTCTTCTGATCAACGTGAAGTCCCGCTGGAGGAGACTCTAGGTGGGCGTGGCCTCCAGCGGCCTGCAGGGTTTAGAGGACTTCCTGCTCCATCGTCATTAAAGTCCGTCTCTTGCAGAACGGAGGCAGAGAGAGAGAAGAACCTCCAGGTTCTCCTAGAAGGTGCGACCGTCCACCTGCTGATGCTGAGCTCCGCAGCAGGTACGTGACTCGTAGGAGGAGCTGTTTGGTAGAACTTGTGTTTGTAGGTCAGAGGGGGAACTTGTTCTCGTCCTTTAGTTTGGGTTTGGGTTACAGGCTCAGACACTCTGGTTTTAGTTTGAGACCTGATCCCAACAGGTTAGCTGAGAACCCAGCAAGCAGGAGGGTCCGGACCTTCGTCCCTCCTGACCCCTCTGCTCCTCCTGCAGGTCGGGTTCTTCCGGAGTCCACTCTGTCAGGAGGAGACCCGGCAGACCTCGGATCAGTGAGGAGCAGAACCACGTGGACCTGAGGGTGTGTTTGCTGCAGGACTCTCAGATCCAGGTGCTCTCTAAGACGGGTACGGCTCCGATGCTCCGGTCTGGCTCTGATTGGTCCGTTATCATCTCACTCCCAGGATGAACGAACGACAGAAACATTCAGAGTCATCACGACTGCTTTGGTCTAACTCAAACGGACCTGACAGGAAACCTTTTAATTCCAGTGTTTAAGAAGACTCCGGTCCAGGACCTGAAGTGTCCTCGTGGTCTACAGGAGTCGGACTTCCTGGACCTCCTCCGGTCCTCCTTCCCTCAGCTGGCTGACGGAGAACCTTTTGACCTCTTCATGACTGATCAGAGCAGGAAGCTGCTGCCTCTGAGGGTCAAAGCTCTGACCCCAGAGGAGATCTACTCCACCATCAGGTCCACGGGGAAGTCCTCCCTCTACGTCCGCCTGAAGGTTGGTTGGACCTTGTTTCTTCTGCTGGTAGATGTTTTTTTCTGTCCTGCGGCGCCTCCTGCTGGTCCGTTTCAGCCCGACTGCGTCGGGATGGACCTGGTGGGTCAGAATCTCAGATGAAACCAGGAGACTGTGGAGCTGCGCCGTCTTTTCTACACATGACCAAGTCACCTTTGTGACTCGAGCGAATGACTTGTATGTTTGACCTGTGGAGAAAATCAGGAACTTTTGTTGTTTTTGCAGAACGTAAAAGGAGCCGCCGACAAGGAGTCAGACGGCGTCGGTGACCGCACAGCGCCTGAGTCGAGCCCAGTGAGGAGGTGAGTGGTTACGGACTGTAGGGATCACCCCGGGTTGCATCGATAGACTTATTTACTCTGTCTTTGTAGCCCCATCAGCAACATAGGAGGGGAGGAGCTATCCACGGAGGCTGAGAGTGACCTGGACTCCACCAACGATGATGACTGGAACCCTGGCGTGCACACGCGCCGGAAACCCGCCAGGAAGCGTGCTGAAGGTGGTGTGGAGGAGGCCGAGGAGCGTAGACTGTCCTGTAAGGTGTGTGGCGTCTGGTACCGGCTGCTGGGGTACCTGATCAAACACACCTGGAGCCACGTGGATGAGCAGCAGGCCGTCTGTGGAGTGTGTGGGCAGAAGTCCGAGTCTGCGGAGGAGCTAAAGGAGCACCTGAGGAATCACCAGAAGCTTCACAGCTGCTCACACTGTGGGAAGACCTTCGTCTTCGCCTCCAGCCTCCATCAGCACGCCTCCAAGCACACCGGAGACGGCACGTTCAAATGCAACGTCTGCAACAAAACCTTAAGTAGCAGGGCGGTCCTGAGCAACCACCGCTGGGTCCACGTGAAGAACAAGCCACACCAATGCGAGGTGTGCCACAAGTCGTTTGGTCTGAAGGCCCAGCTCTCCGTCCACAGAAAGATCCACGCGGGCGGGAACAAGCACCACTGCGACATCTGCAGCAAGGCCTTCAACGACCGCCGCGCCATGACCCAGCACCGGCTGGTCCACTTAGGAGAACGACACTACAGCTGCAAAGTCTGTGGGAAGCGCTTCAAGCTCCACAACACGCTCAGGTCGCACGAAAAGACCCACTCGGTGCAAACGCAGTCGTTCCTCTGCCACGTCTGCTGCAAGACCTTCCTGTCGGAACAAAGACTCGTGGTTCACCTGAAGACCCACAGCAACGAGAAGCCGTTTGTGTGCGAGGTGTGCGCCAAGAGCTTCGCCTTCAAGGACGGCCTGAAGAGGCACATGAAGGTCCACACCGGCGAGGCGCCGTACGAGTGCTTCGAGTGCGGACGCTGCTTCAAGTTCAAGTCGAAACTCAACGCCCACGTCTTTCTCCATTCAGGCATCAAGAAGTTTGTCTGCGGGGTCTGCGGGAAGGCCTTCTCTCGACGGGAATACCTGAAGGTCCACATGAGGACCCACAACGGGGAGAGACCCTACAAGTGTCCCATCTGTGAGAAGGCCTTCACCCAGAGCCACTGTCTGAAAACGCACATGAAGAGCCACCAGAAGGAGGAGCACTCCGACTCGGATCCGTCCGAGTCCTGAGTGACTTCACCTCCTTGGAGACAAGAGACGACTCGAGCAGAGCAGTAAAACGGTTTAATAACCAGTTTAAGTTATCAGCAGCGTTTTCCCGTTGGTCTGAAACAGTTTGGTACCCGCTAAATACTGGAACCCACCAAAAACACGTCCCCATGGTAACACTGACAGGACGCGGCCCCTGAGGGCCACATGATGCATAACCTCCCTCATGGAGGAGTCATGAGCAGGACCAACGTTTAGGGTGGTCTTGTAGTTTCGTGGTTGGGCTGAGGTTGTTGTCTGCTTCAGGGCAGCTCCAGCAGCTCGTGCTCGGCCAGGATCCGTTGAGTTTGCGTGTGCACCAGCGTCAGGGCTTGGATGATGATGCGTAGGATGGGCGTGGCCTCCTGCTGCGTCTGCACACACACCAGCTTCAGGAAGTAGTCTCTTTCTGGCAGGGCGAGGAAAACGATCTCTGCAGCCTGGCGGAGCATCCAGGAGTGGTGGGGGGCCAGCGCCGCCCTGTAGGCATCCCTAAAGACAAAACAAAGGTTCTCTGGTCTTCTCTGTTTGTATTTGATGTAAACTACAGCCCCCCAAGGTGCTTTACAACACAGCTCATCATCCACCCATTCACTCACTGGTGCTGGTGAGCTACATCATGGCCGCACCGACACAGGCGAGGCACCCTCCCCCCACCAGCAGGTAAGTTGGGTGAAGCGTCTTGCCCAAGGACACGAGAACTAACGCAGACGAGGCTCGAACCTGCAACCCTTTGATTACAGGGCCACCGTCTGCTGCCTGACCAGTCGGGTCCAAGTCTAAGGAGTGGGAGACTTGTGTAGTTGCCCGTGCTCCATCATTAGGAATGTTCGTACGAACGCCCTGACGTGTGAAACGTGCTGTAGCCACCTGTACGTTCCTGCGTAATCGTCTAAGTCCCACCTGTGTGTTCCGTTCAGTCATTCGCACACGCCCCCAACTAACCATATATGGTCACTCCACAGCCTCAGCTCCAGGGTTAGGGTTGGGTTCTTCTTTCCAGGACTAGATCCTGAAACACTAAACTGGGTTTACACATCCCACTAGAATCATCTCGTCCTGCTCTTAGTGGATCTGGAGCCGATCGCAGATGGTGGAAGACCCGGTGGAGGCACCCACTCAGCTAAACGGGTCTCGTGTGCTTTAATGAGGGTCTGAAGATGTTTTTCTGTCTCCTCTGACCTCCTAAACAAGACCCCATGTGGTCCCTGGCTGGCTAGACTAGAGGACTGGAACCAGTGCCTCGCTGGACTGCAGATGCCGGTGACCAGTTGGAGTCCCTCTGAACTTGTTGATGTTGGAACTAAATAAACATTTGAACAAGTGTTTAGTCTCAGAGTGATTCTAACCCCGGTTTCACACTGCAAGCATCAGCGGAACGGAGCGGCAGCGAAGCGGCACCGCTTCAAATAGAATCCAGTTCTAGTCTATGGAGTGTTTCAAACCAGCCGCGACACGGCAATTCTCAGGCGCTTCCCGGAAGCGGCATGCTGCGCCGCGCCGCTAAAGATGGGATCGAGTTCTAGTTTTTCCGCGAGCCGCTTCTGGGACACGTCAATTTCCGCAGTTCACATAGTGCGAGACAGGAAACCACACACTGTTTCAGTGTAAAATGCCCAGTTATTTTCAAAATAAAATGCAATGTTGCGATGTTACATATAACTTACTTCAGCACGTGTGACCGAACGGCTTTGTTTACCACCAGTTTCTTTCGAGAAGTGCAACGGTGGGATTCCCAGCAAGTTATAGAAAACGTGATCTCCTCTTTGTTCCCTCTCGGATGGCAAGTCGCGGGGGTTGTGATCTCTCGATGAGGAAGGATGGCGGAAATCTCGAGGGAGTTTTAGAATCTCGCGAGTACAGCGAGGAAGCCGTGCCACGGTCAAGACTCTCCCGGTGTTAAAAGGACCGCGTTGAAGTTGGCGAGTGAGCCGCTCCACTGCTGTTCCATGCCGCTGATGCTTGCAGCGTGAAACCGGGGTAACCTCGAGCGGCTTGTGCCGGTCTCTGAATGTCAGAATCTCATCTTCATCTGGTTTCACGCCACGTCTCCATCTCCTCCCAAAGTTCACCAGCCGCTCCGGCTCACAGGCACTAGAGACCAGTTCCAGACGCCAGCGAGGACCTTTGTCCCTGAGGTTTTAGGAAGCTCTGCTGAGATTGTGGAAACTTTCTTTTCGGATCTGAAACCCGAGCGTTCTTACCTGCTCAGCTCTCCAGGTGTCTTCAGTCGTCCTTCTCCGTCCGCTCCCTCAGACAAACCTTCCAACATCAGCTTCAGCCAGAGGAGCGAGCGGTGCAGCCGCAGCAGCGTCCTGCAGCCAGAGTCCGTTCGGTAGGAGAAGTTAACCACACCCGCTTTTAGCTCCGCCTCCACCATGGAGCGAACAGATCGATATGCCTGAAGGAGGGAAATTCTTTCAGCTCTGGGTTTGTCACGGTGTCCTGCAGCAGTTCGGCGTCCATCCCACCTGGTTACGGAGTTCAAAGGCTGCAGGGGTCGGTCGCTGAGGTGCGTCGGCTGATTTCCCATGAGCCTTCGCTCCGTGTTTGAGTGACAGCTCTCTAATCAGCGTGATCTTCTCTCTGACCTTCTGAGAAAAGAAGCCGACCATCGTTCCGAGAGACTCCATGAAACTGAAACGAGCATCATGGAATTAAACTCCCAAGTTTCTCATTGATGCAAACTTGTTACTTGATGTCTAGTCTACCGTAACCATGGGAACCAATAAATGTGTCTGTTCACTACAGAGTTTGTGGTTCCTGACTCGCTGCCTCCTCAGGTGTTTGAGGGTTAATGTTTACTTCAGCAGCTGATCCCAGCTCAGCAGGTACGGCTCCAACAAGATGTCACCGTCGTCATCCAGGCTGGACTTGAGGTACTGCAGCAGGCGCCGGGCCTGAAACGACTGGCCAGGGCAGTCTTTCACAAGGGGCGTGTCTCCATGTAGCTCCGCCCACTTCTCAGACACCTTTGGAGGTGGGGGCTGAAAAAATGAATGGGTGTTTAGTAATAAATGGTAGATTGTTGTGGTTTATAAACAGTCAGTACAGAAAGTACCCAGACCCGATACATGCTTCACTCTTAGGGTTAGCCGTTAGCTAAAATCAGTTAAATTCATTCTGTTTCTCATTAATGATCAATGACCAACATGTCCTAGAGAAGTCTGGTTTTAGGGTGAACCACAGCACTGAGACGGCCCTTCTGAAGATTTTAAATGATTTTAGAACAAATTATGATGCTCGGAGGGCAACAGTGTTGGTTCTGCTGGATCTAAGCGCTGCCTTTGATACAGTAGACCACACTATTCTTTTAACCCGTTTAAAACAGATCGGCCTCTCTGGTGCTGTTCACAGTTGGTTCACTTCCTACCTCACAGACAGGACTTTTATGGTGAGTTTGGATACCTGTTCCTCTGGGGTCCACAGCATCACATGCGGTGTGCCTCAGGGTTCAATTCTAGGCTCAGTGCTTTTTAACCTCTATATGCTCCCTCTGGGCAGCGTCATCAGGAGACATGGGGTGAATTTCCACAGTTACGCTGACGATACACAGTTGTACATCTCCGTGTCTCCTGATGACGCACAGCCAATGGAAACACTTTTTAACTTCATTTTAGATATTAAATCATGGATGACTGAAAACTTTCTCCAGCTCAACCAGGGCAAAACTGAAGTTTTAGTCATCTGTCCTGAGGCCCAGAGAGAGAAACTTTTACCTAAACTACAATCAATGTCTTTTTATCCATCACTACAAGTGAAGAATCTGGGTGTTATTTTCGACTCTGAGCTGACTTTTATTCCCCACATTAAAAACATCACAAAAATAGGTTTTCACCATCTTAAGAACATCGCCAGAGTCCGCCCCATTCTCTCTCGGGCCAATACGGAGACGCTAGTGCATGCTTTTCTAACCAGTAGAATTGATTACTGCAATGCCCTGCTTTCTGGTCTTCCCAAAAAGAGCATCTCAGGTTTACAACTTTTACAAAACTCAGCAGCACGTGTCCTGATGAAGACCAGGAAGCGGGAGCACATCACTCCGGTTTTTAAATAACTGCACTGGCTCCCCGTATGTTTCAGGATCGATTTTAAGGTTCTTTTAATGGTTTTTAAGTGTCTTAATGGTCTTGGGCCTTCTTATCTCTCAGAAATGCTTTTACTATATAAACCCTCGCGGTCTCTGCGCTCCTTTGGCAGCCGTCTCCTAGTTCAATCAATCAATCAATCAATCAAAGCTTTATTTATAAAGCGCCTTCCGCAACCCTGTCAGGAAGCCCAAAGCACTGAACATGGTACAGTTAAGTAAATATATTGAATAAATCAGCAATAAAAGAAATTCAAATTACAAATTACAAAG